ATAAAGTACCCCAAAAAAAAAAATTGTCTAAACAATGTAAAGGGCAAAAACAAAGATAGTAAAAGTTCATAAATTTCTTCAAACACGATGTTAAAGAGTTATGAGAATCCATCCGTCCCATGCATCAAAATGGCTTAGCTTTTATGATTTAAAATTTGTTTCTTTTCTTTTCTTTTTCTTTTTTTATTTTTATTTATACATTAAAAAACATGTGTAAACAAAAAAAAAAATAACACCCTTCTATTACACAAAAGCGACCCCAAATACGTCTAGAAAAATTGCCACCCCTCGAACAAAGAGTCACTCTTAATATTTTTTCTTTTTCTTTTTAACATAGCCCTTTCTATTTTTCAATCATTAATGGTAGATACCCTAAAATCTTTCTTAAATTTAAAAAAAAAAACTTTCCTGTAAATATCCTCATTGAAATAAATTTAAGAGGAATGTCTTGAAAGTTTTAACTATTTTCCTTTTTCAACTAGAGCTAGCTATCATATGGGTAGGGTTGTAAACGAACCAAATTGTTTGCGAACTGGCTCGGTTTGGCTCGTTTACTAAACGAACTCGTTTTTTTATTTAAATTGCATAATAAATATATTTTTTATATATCAAATAATATAAGTATAAATATATTATTTATATATTAAATAATAAAAAAAAATTCTTATCGAGTCAAGCTGAACCGAATTCAAGTTTTATTAATATTAACGAATCGAGCTAAGCTCTAACCCAATTAGTTATTGAGCTGAGCTTGAACTCAATAAACGAGTTCGATAAATAAATAAACCGAGTTCGTATTCAATAAAACTTGACACAACTCGATTCGTTTGCAATCCTATAGTCAGGTTATCAGTTTGACTATGAGTAAAATTTTCAAAAATCAGGTTATCATTTTGACTATGGATAAAATTTTCAGAAGAGGAGGTTGCAGCTCAGTTACAGTTAAACCTCAGTTAATGAGTACCATGTATAAAATTTTAAAAAATAAAAATAAAAATAAAAAACAAAATAAATAAACAAACAAGCAAACTTCAGTTAATGAGTAGGTTGACTAAATCATAACCAAACGAACAATCGACGGCTAGGCTCGGCCCTCCGAGTCAAACCATGACATAGCAGTGAAGACGTCATCTGACTACAGTATTTAATAAAATCATAGGATAATTAATTACTAGCAAATTTGTGAGAGACTTATGTACCTTTGAACTCAATGCTGCGGTTCATGACAGGAGATGGAGAGGATGACTCGTCCTTGTAGAACGACGAGTCGAGTACCGACACTGTACTCGGTTGCAACTCAGTCCCACTCGTCATCTCCGCTATGCTGTGTAGCAGCTTATCGCACCTCTCCAACAGACTCCTCCCTCCTTCCATCTTCGATCTCTTCAACCCCCACAAAATTATTAATCAAACTAATTAGAAACAAATAATCAAAATTAAGTGATAATTGAAGTTAATTAATTAAAATTAAACCCAGTTTAATGCATGTACCTCTGCCGGAAATGATGGTAGCAGCTTCTGCATCCTTTTCTTGCGATTTAGTGAAAGTGTCACGATCTCTTCTTTTTCATCGTCACCCTCGTAACCACACAAACCACTGTCGGCCAAGGAAGTGGTGATAGACTGTCGTGTCGGCGTCGGAGGAGGAGGAGGAGGAGGAGGAGGAGAGAAGAACTCGTCGTCAGAATCGCCGGAGATGGAGGTGGTGATAGGGTGTGGTGTCGGCGGAGGAGGAGGAGGGAAGAGTTCCTCGTCCGTATCGCTGGAGATGGAAGAGTTGTAGTCGCGACGTGGCGTCTCGTCCCACTTGCATGGCGGTGATTCGGGAAGGTCGTCTTCGTGTGTGCGGAACCCACAGACTAAGAAGGAGGAGAGGTGGTGCTTGAAGGAGCGGTGGGGTTTTTTGAAAGGGAGCGGGGTGGCCGACTGGCAGTCAGTGAAGAGAGGGCTTGGGGAGAGTTGGATAGGATTTTCTGGGATGTTGGACTGATTTTTGAAGGGCAGAATTTGAAGGATGATGTGATACGGGTGATGAAAGACTTGAATGCCATTGAATTGTTTTGTCTCTCTTCCTCTTTCTCTCTCTCTTTGTTTGTTGTCTCTGTAAGCTATGCAATACAATACGTATATATAGATATAGGGGAACGAAGGTGAATCAATGAAGATGATGGAAAATTTTATTATTAAAGGAGAATATTTTTATAAGGCAATGAATGAGGAAAATTTTATTATTAAAGGAAAATAATTTTATGAGACAATGAAGATCTAGGAAAATTTTATTATTAAACGAAAATATTTTATAAGACCAATCAATAATAAAAGAAAAATATTATTATTAAAAGAAAATAATATTACAAGGAATATTAATATTATTATGTATTTTTATTTTGAAAAAAAAAGAAAAGTTTGAATCGTAATCAATCGTGCATTCTGAAATAGTGGAATGTAATTTGTAAAATAAATTGAAGATTTTTAATATTTTACCAATATATATTCTTTAAAAAAATTTTAAAGTTGAGCCCCATTTCTGAGTTTGCTTTGGGTCTCAAAAAATTTAGGCCGACCCTACCATATGGGCCTGGATCATTCTGGCCCATGAGGCTGTGAGTATAAACACAAGAAGTCAAACCACATTTGGTTGTTTAGTAGAGAGAGTGAGGACCTAAACAAGACAACCAACGGATGCTTGAAATATTAATCAACAATTAAATGTCCTATTGAGACACATTTAAGAGAATGTTATGAAATTCCTTAGAAAATTAACACAACACAACAATCATTCAATGGAAATGAGGTAATGTTAATTTTTGGGCAAATTGTAAATATATTCTCTAAGATTGGATTAAAATACAAAATCTCCTCTTGTGGTTTTAAAAATTAAATTTCAACCCTGAGATTTCTAATTTTATTTCAAATCGCCATTTTTATTAATAAATCATCAAGTCAATTAATAATTTTTAATAATGTTAAAATTATGTTTCAATTAATAATTTAAGTAATTTTATTATTGTATTAGAGAGCAAATATAAATTTTATTTTTTTAGTTAATTCTGTTAAATAAAAAATTCTAATAAAGGGTTACTTGTAATTTTTCAAACCACAAAGGGCAATCTGTATTTTAAAAAAATCTCAAGATGTGTATTTGTAATTTATCCTTAATTTTTTTAGTAATTTTCTGACTTTTTTTCTAAAACACTCGCATGCCAAATAAAATGAGTTGAAATAGTTAATAAAATAAAATATTTTATTTTATTTATAATTATTATTTTATTTTTTTCTCATAATCCGCAAATTAATTATTAAAAAAAATTAATCAACTTCACAAACGTGGGCTTGTTTGGTTTGTTTTTGAGAGAGTTATTTTTGAAAAAAAATTGGAAGAGTTATTTTAGAAATTTTTTTTGTTTGTTTGGTTGTATATTTTGAAAGAAAAATTTTTTGTGGGAGTTTGAGATGATTTGATATTTTGGACAAATTGAGTAGATGTGTGTGAGAGAAAAAGTGATTGAGAAGGAGAGAGGAGAGAGAAAAAGTAATTGATTGATGTGTAAGAACGAGAAGTGATTTTGAAATTTTTTTGAGAAAAATCTCAAACCAAACAATTTTTTAAATTTTTTTTTCTAAAACTCATCTCTAAAACTCAAACCAAACAAACTATGTTAAAATAATTAAAAATCTAATTAAAATAGTTAACTTCTCAAATAAGGCTAAATATTTATTTTTTTTAAAGTTAATTTTGGAATAACACTACATAATTCAAAAATTAATTTTCTCAATGACAATTAATCAATTTTTGATATTGATTTTCAAATCATCTAATAATTTTGTTCATAAAAGTAAATTAAACTCACTTTTCTTGTAATTTAAAAATAATATAGTTAATTTCACACTTTTGACATAACTCCCTCAAAATTTTATTTCACATCATACTTACACTTTTTTCATCAATAATTTATTAGTCGTATGATTGAAAATAATGATATTATCTCTTTCTTGCTAAAATGTATATTTATTTCAGTGTCTACTTACTATTGACTTTAGTTTCAGAAGTTTTAATCATACTAAAAGGGATATTACTGTAATTATGTCAAAAGTGTAAGACTGTCTGTATTTTCTTTAAATTTCAAGGGAAATGAGTGTAATTTATCCAAAAAAACAAAAGAAAGTATGAATTAAGATAATAGGGTTTGTGTCATTTTAGTATTTTACCCTCTTTCATCTTTAAAATTATCAATTTTGAATAATTATTCGTTAAATCATTGGCATTAATTCATTAATATTTTTCTGACCAGATTTAAAAATATTTTTATATACATAATTTGTTTAATTTAATTGAATCTAAAAATAATAATTTGTCACAATTGATTTTTACTCTATGTTTTATTAAAGAGAGAGTTTACCATTCCAGATATAACAACTATCCAATTTTTTCTGGATATTGTCTTATGTGATAAAGATTAAATTAGTATAAATGTGGAGGCATATGCAAATGAATCTAAGTCATAAATTAACGTATCTGAGTAAAATTCATGACAAAATTTTTGAATAGTGTGTTTTATAGTAAAGATTGAATTGGTATAAGTGTATAGGCCATATATAAATAAATGTAAATCGATATTTCCAAATAAAATTTCTAGGTTCATACTATTGATGTTCTTAAATATTTTTAAAACAACTTATTTTGTTACATGGTATATCAATATCTATTTATTATGGGCAAAATGAATAAAAACTTTCAACCAATCGAGTGAGTCAACATATGTAACATTGTGTTAAAGATACTAATTAATAATTTAAATGAAATAAACACAGTTTTAAAAAATAATTTTTCAAATTCATAGTTTGAATTAAGTAGTGGAGATTAATTACATAAAATTTATCTCACACAACAAGCATACTGATGTCCATGTCATCACAAATCTTACTCAGGATTAGAGATTATGCCGGTTTGCTGCTTCTGAGTAGTGACTTGGGGTGAAACATGTATCAAACATATCACATTTGAATCAATTTTCACTATGGATATAAATTTCCAATAAATGATTTCATAATTATAGCTTATTTGAAATTACAATCAAGATCAACAGCTACGCCGCATCTTAAACAAGTTTCATAAAAAAAATTAAGAAAACAAACAACTCAAGTGCAAAAAGATAATGATTCAGGATACGATACGCAACTCAAGGGAAATGGTGCTGAAACATGATATAACAATGGGCAGAAATAAATCAACTATGTAGGTGAGAATTTATCGCCTCCCAGATGCCACTGATTCAGCAGAGAAGAGGTACTTCACTCGTGAAAGAACAGAATCGTGTGTAGGATCATAAGGATGGTCCTTGGAAGGAATCTCCAAAATTGCTGGAGCTGGCTTATTGTAGCTATCCACTAGAAACCTTATCGGGCTCGTTTGGTTTGATTTTCTGAAAAAAATTTGGGAAATTTTCTCTACAAATAAGTTTTCAAAAATAACCAAACCAAACAAATTTTCCCAAAAAAATTTCCCAAAACTTGTAAACCAAACAAGTTTTCCAAACAAATCTCTCTCTCACACACATCAAATCAATCACTTTTTCCAAAACTCTATCTCAAAATAATTTTCCAAAACATCTTTTAAAAAAAACCAAACCAAACATGTTTTCGTACTTTTTATCTCTAAAACACATCTCTCAAACACAAACCAAACATACCCATCATGTTTGCAACCTGAAGATGAGCAGAGGATGATGTTTTGTTTCAGAAATCAGATGAGAACTGAAAAGGCACAGCAATGCAAAATCCAAGTCCTCACTTGCCTCTTGCTACAACTACTACCAACAAATATGTACGGACTTGGTCATTCATCTGCTAATCAGCTTTTTGATAGTCAGGTTTTTTCAACTTATTTAAATTATTTCTGCCTAATAAACTGTAAACATAAGCAACACTAAACAGTCTAACACAAACTTTCTAAATAAAATAAAAACTATAAGCAGCTTAGATAATTTGCACCAAATAGCCAGAATATTCTGAAACCCTGACTGTTGAGCAAACGGAAAAGTAAAAGTGAATTGTGACCTATGATAAGTGAATGTCAGTAGCAAAGTTAAAATTATAGCCATAATGGCCTGTAGCAAAGTCATTGACATTCACTAATTGCCAGAAAATAAATAAAACCCACTGTCAAATGTCGTATGATATTAGTAAGTGTAAAAAGTGCATGTTTAAAAATTCAATTTTTCCATGACAAAGAAGAAGAAACAAAGAGCATCTTATGGTTCTTGTGACATGTCTAATATGATATGAACTTTCACCATTTTAGTCAAATTTCTTAATTATCATATGCATAACAACAGAGGAGGAGCATATAAACCAATTCAAAAATTGACATTGTAGAATAAACAAACTTACAAATTGACTGATCATCACTATTGCAATGTCCTCTCTTGTTGTGAACTCTTTGAATGCATCCTCAATTTGTTTCACCGTTGTTTCTAAACCATAATAAAATAATCTCTTAAGCCAAGGTAAGATTATCCACAAATTCGATAAAATCAACACTGGAAAAGAAAAGGTTATATACATTGTGAAAAGGATAAAGAGAGAAAAAAAACAACATTTGGAATCTTATAACGTTTGCCCAAGCCCATATAGTTATCAGGTTAAAAAAAGAAAAACCCTTTCTCAGCAACTTAAAAGAAAATTTTGAATTTCCTTAAATCGACTTTTAGCTGTTCATTTTAAAGGAAGGTGTAACATGGCTGCCGCAGGGAAAAAAATCTACAACATAAAGGACTTTAGGTAACAGGTAGGTGAGCTTGATTGAGAAAGTGAATCCATTGTTGGGAAAACTCAATGATAAAACTCATCAATAATCCAAATCCAAATAGGGTATGCTGACCAACCAGTTGCATTGGGGATAGTTTTTCAATCTATTGGAGGCTAGTATTAGCCATTTGTTCTAGTGAGAATCATTCCGAAGAAACAACTATCATCAAAAGCCATTCATATTATTACTGAGTTCAATCTTTCAGGTAGGAGGGATTGTTCATTCTTTAAGACTTTAGGGCCACCCAAAAACCAAAAGAAAAGGGAATGTTCATTCAGAAAAGTGGAACCAAAGGAAAAGTTAAAAACAATAAACAAACAACTTCCTAAATAAATTATGGTTGATCATATAAATTCTATGATATCACGCACAAAATATTAAAAAAATTCATAACATTCATAGCTAAAAAACGTACTCGAGTCCACAATAAGATAATTTGTCTTCCTTCGCAAGTCCAGTTGCTTGAACGAGACTAGAAGTTGAAAATTATATGGAGTGGCACATGAGGTCAGAGGATTGGGAATGAGGGATTTTTCAATTATTTGTCGAAAAAAGAAAAAAGAAAAAAGGAATTGAGAAGAATTAATCGACTAATGTTTCACTCTTACAAGGGGAATCTCTAATCGAAAGTTGGAATATTGGGGAATGCAAAAAAAGGGTAAGGGATTTTTCCCCCTCATATTGTAATACAAATTTTGGCTCCGTTTAGTTTAGTTTTTGAAAAGAGTTTTGAGTTTTGAGTTGTATTTTGAAAGATAAGTTGTTGAAAAGAATTTTGAAAATTTGTTTGGTTATGAGTTTTGAAAATAATTTTTGGATGATTTGTAGTTTTTATTTTATTTTTTTTAGTTGAATAGATGGGTATGAGAGAAAATTTGATTGATTGATGTGTAGAATGTGAGAGAAGGAGAGAGGAGAGGGGAGAGAGAAAAAAGTGATTGATTGATTTATTAATATAAAAAAAAGGGAGAGAGGAGAGAGAGAGAAAAAAACAATTTTGAAAGGAGTTTTGAAAGTTGGTTAACCAAAAATGTTTTTTGCTTTTTTGATCCAAAAGTTAATTTGGAAACTAAACCGAATGGTACCTAAGACATTCATAACCACTTGTAGAAGGGTCCTACTTGAAATTTGAAAATGCCGCCAAAATTGCCTTGGCGGGAAGAACACTTTTGAAAAGGGAAGATGGGCAAAATTCTAACAAAAATGGGTAAAAAGCAAACCGCAAATAGTCTGTGAACGGACCCCGTATGAGAACCATCTCAGGAACCGCAAGGCCACCCCAAAAGGAGAGGTGAAACTAACTGAGGTAAGACTTGCTGAGGTGAGACCAACTAAGAGAAGACTTACCGAGGTGCAACCAGTTGAGGGAAGACTTACTGAGGTACAACCAGCCGAGGTGACACCAACTGAGGCACCACTGGCCGAGGTGAGACCAGCTGAGGCAAAACCCTCTAAGGCGAGAAAAGCCCTTGAAGAAAATTAAGTCCCTGAGGTGCCCCCTAAGGGCCAAGGTCCCCTTGGAGCTGATAGAGGGTATCAAAATGACATAATTCAGAACCACAACTCTCACGAAGATACAGAATGCAAGATCTGAAAGTTAGGAGTCTCCTTCCCATATAATTATCCAGGCCCAAGGAGCCTACCCCAGTCGAGATGGCAAGACGCAGGAAGCCCATGACGTATAGTCTAGTTGATACAAGGCTACACTACGATACTTTACCAGGATGTTGGGGAGCTTGCGGCTTGGTGGCTAAGAGTAGGGGTTTGCTGAAGTGGTTGCGAGTTTGGCTGATACAGGCTACATTTCCCAAGTAAGGTTTTACCGGGTGACGTCCTACCAAATGAGGTCCTACTGAGAGACTTAGGTAGTGCCTAAAGGGAAAGACAAAGGGAAGCACGTACTCACCGAGGAGTTGCATCTAGGGAAAGGAATATGCCCACGTGATCTCTGAGATATGTAGCATCACCTTATTAGCTACTTGGCCACTTGTGAGCCAAGGAAATGCCTACAAATAGGAGTCATTTCCCACATCTCTAGGGTGATGATTTGGGGATTCCTATAGCTTGAGAGAGCGATTCCAGGTTTCCCATAGCTCAATACAGAGTGATATGTGGGATTCCCATAAGCTTGAGAGAGACTTGGGATCCTCGTAGCCCGACGAGAGAGTGAAACTGGGAAAAAGAGGGAGCCTTGCCACTGCCATTACCTTTCTTGATTTGCTTGCCCTACTCTCACCCAGCAACTCTCTCCTGTCTCCTGCTTACTATTCACATTACTTGCCTCACTGATCATACATATTCTTGTATGAACACCATACATTTTCCGACCTCCTACACTCCAACACAGTGGACTACCCTATAACACATGAACATAATTGCTATGAGCAACTAAAATCATGCAGTAAATTATATAGTTAAGACCATTCAACTTGGCTTATTTGATGTCAATTGAAAAGGATTTGAAGCCAAATGAACATAGCTTTTCAGGTTCATAGGCTCATACCCTCATAATACACCTTCTGCACATGGCCAACTGTGGGAGCCAAGTTTTGCTCTCACTAACTCAGCCACAGCACATTTGCACCTCCAGTTTAGAAAATGATGGCTGATGAGGACTGCATGAACGAAAAAAATTGTGCAAGGAAAGGATAACTCATAAAGAGAAGCCCTCAACAAGTCACACTCAACATATCTTCTTTTGAAAGAAAAAACTTGTGCCGTCTTTATTATGTGAAGAAAGATAACCACAAACTCAATCAAGTAAAATATTAAGCTGGCACAACAAGAAGATACGCCACAAGGTAGCATCTTTTGTAAACAGAAATGACAACAAACTCGATCAAGTAAAAAATAAAGCTAGCATAATGCGAAGATACGCCACAAGAGGGCATATATATTTTTGTAAATTAAATAAAATAAAGGAGTCACATATCACATAAAATTCATCCACTTTAGCACATTTTAAACAATGGCAGACCCAACAAGGCAACACACCTTCGCATATTCCACTTCCCTCCCTCTCTCTCTCTCTCCTTGACAGAATGTTTGAGTATATATTGCAAATAAAAACAACCACCGATCTATATCAAATGATTCTATAATCATCAAATCTTTCAGTTTTATTTTATTCTACATATAAACCCAAGTAGAAATCTCTACAAGACAAACATAATGCAGATACTCTAAACACTGAGATTCTAAAACCTTTTCCTTCAGTTTTTCCGCCATGCACTAATATTCTAAAAAAAAAAATTATGATAACCACATTGAAACTATAATGAATATTAGTGTCTAAAACAATTATATTCAGAAACATCTATGGCATATAATTTCACTACTAAAGCACATAGACAGCAAATGCAAGATCCTTACCTCATCAGCAATCATAGCAATGAGTGCTGAGTTTCTTGAAGGAATTTGAGCTTTGTTAGCCATTCAAATAAATAACAAAAACTACGAAAGGAAAATATATGAGAATGTCAGATATTGCTGTGAATCACTCACTTAAAAACTCAAGCTAAAAGCTAAACATAGAAAATGTGCTAGAGTCATATTACATCCAATGAAAAAGAAGCACTTTACAAAATAACATGTGAAGGCATGCAAGTGCATCGCTGTAGATGATTCTTTGCACAAAATAATGTGTATAGGCATGAAAGTGCATTGCCATAGATGATTTTTGAGCAAAGCACCAAACAGCCATGAAAAAGAGATGACAACAATCCATAATAGATGAATCCCGTGCAGTTCTGGCATATTCAGAAACTTTATTCTATTTGCTCTTGAAAATTATATCTGTTTGGTTCAAAACCAAAATCAATAACTCAGTTTTTATCAAAACAAAGTTCGTTTTTATTTAAACATACTATGAAAGATGTTTGTATACAATTGTGGGTCGGAGAGAGACTTGAAGAGGGATAGAGAGGAGGGAAGAAAAATGATATTAGAATGCAACATTTAAAGAAAAATCGGGAATTTATTTGGCATATTTGTGTAGAACAAAATAAAGAATAAAATAAAAGATTTCCACAGTAGTAATTTTTTCTTTTTTTTTTTGATAAATAAAAATTAAATAAATTTCCATAGTAGTAAAGTTGATGAGTTTTAGTACATATCATGATGGGAATCAAGAAACCGATCGAAGAGGAATGTTAGGAGCAAGAAAAATCAACTGAATGATTACGGATTTGATTAGAAATTTTAGGAGATTTAGGCCCTATTTGGTGGAGCTTTTTTAAATTAAAAGCTGATAATCAGAAAACAGAAGCTAAAAGCACCCCTATCCCAACTTTCAAATAATCAGCTTATTTACGCTATTTTTGCCTAATAAATTATAAGCAGAAGCTGCACTAAACTGTCTGGCACAGACTCCCAAATCAAAATAAGTTATAATCACCTCAAAAGCTATAACAAACAGTCCCTTAGTCTTATTAGTAGGATGTTGCTTCTATTTTTTGACTTATTTCTAGTTTATTTTCCCTTACTATATAATGCTTTTAAGCTTATATGTGGTGCTACATCACTTCACCTACAAATTAATTGAAGAAACAAGGAGTAGAACTATTGAACAGCTATGTAAATATGACTTATAATGTCAAATAGGAGAAAATTTTGTATAAGTGTGTGTGTAAATAGAAAGCATTAAAAATCTAGATCCACAATCTGTCGGCAAATTCAACCTTTTCCCCACAAATCTAATTGGAAATTTCAAACCAAAAACCTAAAGAAACCTTCCATGCCAAAACCCAATAGAAACATATATATATATATATATATATGTATACATATTTTTGAAAACAACAGCAATCTGTCACCAAACTAAAAACCATAACAAACCCTAGATCATGATCTGATATATAAGCTGCATGCCTGCAATCACCAGGTGTGAATGGGAATGAAACATTCATCTTATGGTGGCCAATCACTAGTGTGATGAGAAGAAACTTATAGTGAGCAAGTGGGTTTTTAAGTGAGAGTAACACGAGTAAAGGGGGGTGACCATTGGTTCAATGGTAAAAACCTTGACCTAATAACCTTGAGATTATGGGTTCAAGTTTCGGGGCAACTACTTTGTGTCTTATGTCAAAGGTTAGATGTGTACTCAATCTTTTCCCTCCCAAACACACATTAACGTTTACTAATTGGGTTTTTTAGTAACACGAGTAAGGGAGAACTACCTCCCCCATGTTTCGCATGTGTCCTCGTTTCCACCCATAATAAGGGAAGTTACCGAACAAAAGCCTCAATTTCAACAAACTGATTTTGGGGTTTACCAAACAACCCTTTATAAGAAGCTTTGTTCTATAGAATTAGACGTTGGGGATACTTTCCTTTTTCTTTTTTTTTTTCAGTCAGATTCTGTGTGTACTTGAATACTCCATCATCATCAATCTCTCCCTAATAAGAGTAGATCTGTTATTTCAAAATTGAAAACTCCAATGCTTTCTACCTATAATATACAAATATACACATACATATACATGCATATACATATGCGGAAAATTATTAGGTACTCCAGGAGTATCACGTGACTATGCTCCGTCACCAATCATCATTCATTATGCCCCTCTTATTTCTCAATCACCCAACACAAAATCAAATACCCCACCTTCTCCACCAATTATACTACCATGAAGTACCACATGGTTGTACTCCCGAACTATCGAATAATCACTCTACATATGCATACATGTGTATATCTATTGTATACACTCATAATGAACAATTTTGTTTTTTGATAAGTTAACAGACAATATTGGTCAATGCTATGTTACCTGAAACACGGATCATTCTGGTACATGAAACTGGAACGGGAATGTGGTATGCCACATGCTCTAAAATTTAGTACTATACTACACTTAAAAATTTAAGGTATTTGTAGAGGAATTTTCTTTTACCTATTAGGCATCCAATAAAATGTATTTTTGAATTTTATTTTCCATTTTTGATGTTTTTGTCTTGTCAAAACTTAACTCACTTTTATATTTTAATTCATTATATTTGATTTTTTTTCTTTTAAGAAAATATATTGGAAAAAAACTTTTGGGATCATTTCAGATAACTAAAGTGTACTATGTTTCGGAACAAGCGTACTAATACGTAATTTGCTAGGGTATCAACATTTTTTGGCAACACGGTACATCAGCATATTCACAAAAAATAAAATAAAATAAATACCACTTGGGGAAGTGTAGATTTGAAACACCAGAAGTAGGGCATTATACTAAGAAGAGGGCATAACTCAGATCAAGTAATGGCAAAGTGCATCTGTAAGTTGGATTATGGACCAAGGCTCTAAGCCCAACAGAGCTAAAGATGATCAAGGCTTTCTTTATGTTTTTCCCTTCATTTTTCACAGACTGCTTAAACTATTGTTTTCTTTAAAACATGCTTAGATCTTCGATTAGGGTACGAATTTGTGAAACAAAAGGAAAATGAAAGGAATTTGTGAATGAAATTTTTTCACAAATCGCATCCCTTTTTTTTAACAAATTTAAATATTTAAATACGGCCATAAGAAATCGGGTTTTCAGCATACAGGAGAGACATAATAAGAGTATCAAAATTTTCAACACTACAAAAAAGAAAGCGAAAATCCTGTATGTTCAATCAATTAACTGTAAATTAATCACAATTGTAAGCACATATAAAACAATGATAAAAAAATTGGAATAAATTCATAGGAACACGCATTCGACAAACAAGAAGGTTTGATTTGAATCTACCACATTGGATTTAAAACATACAAACAAACAAATAAAACAATGAATTTCAGAGGCAAACCTGTCGTTTCGATTGTTGTACTCGCCTCGGATTGCTCGAAAATCAACAAGATCGATAGAGCGAGCGAGCGAGCCTACCTCAACTGATCAATCGATCCAGAGAAAGAGAAACCAAACGACAGCGTCTGGGAGAACCTTGGGCAATGCTTATGGAACTGTTGGCAAAGGTTTTTTTTTTTTTTTTTTGGTTTTTTTTTTGGTTAAAATTTTAAAAAAAAAAAAAAAGTAAAATAGATTGAAATGGTCGATAAAATAAAATATTCCATTAAATTCATAAATATTTTATTTTTTCTCTCGCAAACAATAAATCTAGCCATAAAAAAAAATTTAACTATCTTTTCCAATACAAAAAATTTAATCTGCTATAGGGACAATTTGAGAACTTAGGCCTCGTTTGGAATCAGACTTTTTAGTAATTTTTTAATTTTTTGGTTAAAATGTGATGTAAAAAAAACTAATATGTTTTAGATGACTTTTTAACTTTTTACAAAAAATGTGTAAAAAGTAGAGAGAAAATAGAATCTTTGACTTTTTGTATGAGTTGTTGACTTTTTAATTTTTTTTAGTAACTTTTTGACTTTTTTGCTAAAAAATTCACTTGCCAAATAAGGCCTCAGTAAAAAACAACTTTTTGACTTTTAAATTTTTTTACACAAAAAAAGTCACAAAAAAAACTAGCTTTTTTAGCTAAAAAAGCCATCAAAAAGCAAAAAAAAAAAACAAAAAATCAATTTTTTATCAATTTTTCAAAACACTACTAAAATAGTCAAAAACGAAAATAACTTACTAAAATAGCAACTTCCCAAACACCCACATTAGGATAAATTATACTTTGCCCCTAAATTGTGGTCTAATTCCCACTTTGGCTGTTAAATTTTTGGGTAAATTACACTGACATCCCCTGAGGTTTATGTTTATTACAGTTTCTCTCTCACCTTTTGGAAATTACATCTCCCCCCTGAGGTTTAAAGTTTCATTACAGATTCCCCTCTCAGTAATTTAATTTTTGTAAGTACCAATTTTTTCCTCATTGGGTAAATCACATTGACACCCCTCACATTTTAAAAATTACAATCACATCCCTAACATTTGAAGTAGTATTACCAATTGCCTCCTCGGTTAGTATTAGTTGGAAAAAAAATCATTGAAAAAAAAAATAATTGAAAAAAAAATTTGTTAGTAAAATTTTTAAATTTTTATTTAAAAACGAACATAAACTCATTTTTTAAATTTATATTTTTTCCTCAAATTTACAAATTGAGACAACCATTTATAAACCAAAAAAATTATCAAATAAGTTTTTATGACAGTTTTTTAAATTTTTGTAAATATAAATTGAAAACTAAAAATGAAATGGTTACCAAATGGGCCTCAGATGATAAAAATATCGTAAAATTAACAAATAATTAAATAAGTTATCCAATGTAATAAATAATTTACCAAAAGATTCTTAGGCTATGTATGGTTTGATTTTTTGAAAAAAAAATTTAAAAATTTAAAATTAATTTGGTTAAGAAATAAAAAATTAAAAATAATTATATTTAAGGGTAAAAAATAATTATCATTTTAACTTTTGGGTAGGTTATATACATACGTATGGTTGTTTCAATTTAATTTGTAAAAAAATATTTCTAACCACTCGAAAGATAAAAATTATATAAAAATGATAATTATTTTTTATTTTTTATTTCGTAACCAGATTAATTTTTAATTTTTTTTAAAAAAAAATTAAAAATCAATTCATACATAGCCTAAGAATATTTTGATAAGTCATTTCATACGTTGGTAACTTATTTAATTATTTATTAATTTTATAACATTTTTACCATCTGAAACCTGTTTGGTAACCATTTCGTTTTTAGTTTTCGATTTATATTTATAAAAATTTAAAAAAAACTGTCATAAAACTTGTTTGATAAATTTTTTAGTTTATAAATGGTTGTCTCAGTTTGTAAATTTAAGGAAAAAAACATAAATTCAAAAAATGAGTTTATGTTAGTTTTTAAACAGAAATTTAAAAATTTTACTAACAAAATTTTAAAAAAAAAAATTTCAAATAATTATTTTTCCAATTAATTTTTTTTTCAATGAATTTTTTTTCTAACTAGGCCTAGTTTGGGAAGACTAAATAAGTGTATTTTTTTACTTTTTATGAAATATGGGTTGAGTTTGTGTTGGGTTTGAAGTGATGTGTTAGAGAGGTGATGTGACTTAAATAAGATGATGTGACTTAAATAGGATAGTGTCTTTTTGACTTTTTGTCTTTTTTTAATCATGCCAAACTTGGCTTAATACTAACCGAGAGGGCAATTGGTAATGCTACTTTAAACCTTAGGGAGGGGATTGTAATTTCTAAAATGTAAGGGGTGTCAGGTAATTTACCCAATGAGGGTAAAATTAGTATTTAAAAAAATTAAATTGCTGAAGAAGGAAATCTATAATGAAACTTTAAACTTCAAGAGAGTAAATGTAATTTTCAAAAGGTGAGGGAGAAACTATAATAAACATAAATCTCAGGGGGTGTCAGTGTAATTTACCCTAAATTTTTTTAAATTTTACTTCTAAAATTGTCTAATTTTCTATGGATCTAATTAGCAATTGGCCAAGTTTGGAAAGTTGCAATAACAACACAAAAAAAAAAAAAATTAAAAAATTAAAAGTCAAAAATTATACAAAAAAAGAGTCAAAAATTATTTTTCCTCTCTACTTTTTAAATTTTTTTTTTCTTAAAAAAATTTAAAAATCATTACAAACATACTAATTTTTTTATCTTATATTTTAAATAAAAAATCAAAATAATATTAAAAATAGTCTATTATCATGAAGTAATGAACTAGAGTAACCTGAAATTTAAACAAAACTTCATTTAAAATCATTTCAATAAAAAAACATGTAAGATCATATTTTAGTAAAAAAAAAATTTGTCCTTTCCACCTTTAGCATATTTAACTTTAGTGATTTAAGTAGCTAAATTACTAAAGTGGTGTTTGTTTTGAAGGATTGGGACATGGAATTTTACTATTAGTCTGAACTAATAATTCGTTGTTTGGTAGTCAATTTTTCCTCCAGATTATTAGTCTTATATTTGTTGGATTGTTGTATCTCATAGGGAGGTGAGATAGAAATCATGGAATAGCTTATCTCATAGGATTAGCTTATGAAATTACATTTTCGACCCTCTTGTATTTACTATCTTTTTTTAATGTTGTTAATTTAAAATTCTATATTAAATAAAAATATAAATTATAAATTTAATTTAATTAAAAATAATAAATTAAAAATTATGGCCTTATAAATTAAATTTTTTTAGTGTTGTTAAATTATAAATTATAGATTACATATTTAAAATTATACATTAAATAAAAAATATAAATTATAAATTACAAGGGTAAAATAGTCTTTTGAACATTTATCCTTATCCAGTCTGTTCAACCAAATATTAGATTCACTAAAAATAGTTCAATCCAGACATCTAATTCATGACTAAACAAACATAGGATACAAATCTAATCCAACAAAATAGTCCAAGGACAATGTATCCTAGGACTAACAGTCCGATAGATTTTAATCCCCCTTATCCAGTTCGTCCAATTAAACATTAGACAGACTGGATTAGGGGGATTAGAATCCATCGGATTTAAATCCTGGGACTGTGAATCCCCCAGACTATTTGGTTGGATTGGATATGTATCATGTGTTTGTTTTTCTATGAGATTAGATGTCTAGAAATAACTATTTTTAGTGAATCCAATGTTTGGTTAGACGGACTAGATAGGATAAATGAACAAAAGATTATTTTATCATTTTTCAATTGTTTATTAAGTAATAGCAATATTAAACATATCTTGAATATTTTAATTATTTTTAGTTAGATTAAATAAAAATTTATTTTATTTTATTTTTTATACAATTAAATAAATTTATTTTTAAAAAATTAAATAAATAAAATATCAATAAAAATATATGATATTTTTTTAATTAAAATTTTAAAAATATAAAATTATGCTATTTTTTTATATTATAAGATATGTATAATACACATCTTTTCGGAGAGTTATACTTAGTATTTCCCTCAACATTAATGTGAAACAAGTTAAGGGATGGAACATTTTATTAAATATAATACATAATTAAATAGTAGAGGGTCAAAATGGTCATTTTACCACCTAATCCCAACAGTGGATAGTCCCCCCAAAAATTGTCTCACACCCCCCAGGATACAATAGTCCCCCATATGGGGGATAAGGAGTCCGGTCGGACTCCATGTCGACCGGACTAAAAAAAAAACAAACGGCGAATTGGATGCTTCTCCTGAATTACAATCCGCACATTAAATAGTCTCTCATATCTCCCCAATCAAACACATCCAAGTATTGCTATATTTTAATAATAAATAGTGTTAACAAACTAAAAATTTAACAAATGTTGTAAATCAAATCCAAAAAAAAAACAAAAAAAACAAATGTTGTAAATGTTATTTTTCCTGTTTTTCCCAAATAAAAAATATTATATACAGATAAAATCTTTAAAACAGAGTAACAAAAGAAGTTGCCAAATTTTAATTATTATTAATTTTTATGCCAAATTTAATTGGGGTATTTTTCTTTTAGGGTCTCTAATATTAAAATTTTATAGCATAAAAGATATTTAATATTTTTATGATGTCTAAGGTCCCTCAACATTGATCTAGAAAAATTTCAATCCAGATAAATTCTTCCCAAAGAAATTTTCTCCAGAGAAATTTTAGACTTCCTAAAGAATTTCTTGGGTTCAAATCAGAAAAAATTCAAAGCATTAAATATTCTCTGAATTTTTCTGGTTTGAACTCAAAGAAATTTGAATTTTCTCTTCTTTGAACCCAAAGAAATTCTTGATGTCTACAATTCAATCTTCCCACTCTCCAGAGAAATCCACTGTTCTCCATTTGGAATACCTGTATATTCACCATTACAGTGGCCTAGAGAGTGATCGAAAGAGAGCTTTATAGCAATGGCGTTTTTTGGAGACGAAGATGAAGTGTGGAAATGTCCACAACACCCTTCGAATAATTAGATTAAATTCCTCAGAATAATCAAATTAAACAAATAAATAGAAGCCAAATTCATTTGCTTTAAAGTAATAGAACGAACAATTAATCTTTTAAAGTGAGTAGCTATAGAGAAAATAATAATAAAAGCCCATTTTATTTCTTGTTCTTCCGTCATAGAAGTATGTATATCTTTTCAACATTATTCTTATACTACAAAAAGAGACTTGATCCAATAACTATATTTATGTCTATATTCATAATGAATTCAACATACAAAGTAATCTTTGGAAGATTTATCACCTGAAACCACTTCGATCCGATGCTTCTGCCTTGTTTCTATCATCTGTATAAAAGACACCAATGACTTCCATATCTTCTTCTCCTCTTAGTTCAATTTATCACCACTGTTATATTCACAGGACCTGGCAATGGATAATTTGCAGACTCTGCACTATACAAAAACTGCAAGCAAGTACACCGAAATTGAAGCATATGACCTTCTACCAGACTCGCTGAAGGCATATATACATACAACGAATGGAAAACCCAAGTCGTGATTGAGCTATTGCGCCACTTGAATCATCTTGATCTTCCCAATTTATGAAACAGCTCTCAAAAGTCACTAATTCTCTCAATCAGAGAATTACACACATATATATGGCTAATGAAAGCCTTGAATCTCTCACAAAGATGTAGAACTAAATGAAGAAATGGCCAAAATGTTGTTCCCAATGAGGCAATTCTGCTTCGGCGGTTCGAACAAATCGACAGCGGTGGGAGTGCAATAGTGGCAGAGAATGAGGACTGAAGAGGAGGAGAGGTGATGGGATCGGGGGATCAACGCTCTGAAGAAGCTTCGAGAGTGGTCGGAGATCATCACCGGGCCATGGTGGAAGACCTTCATACGGCGGTTCAATCAGAGTAAGAGTGGCGAATGAGTTCTTGACACAAGGTTTGTTGGACTGATTGAGCTTGATCGAGAAGAGAGAGAGAGGAGCAGCGAGAAAAGAGAGAGAGGGGGGGGTTTTGAAACTGTGAGATATATCAAGTTTCTCTGTAATACCTAAGTGTGGGGTTGAGGAACCTTAGACATCATAAAATAATATTGTAGATCTCTTCCATTACTAAAAATAATAGAGGGACGATAAACTAATTTTCCCTATTTAATTTGCAATGTTCAAATCTAAGAGTTTCTCTAATGACTAGCTATATAGGCTGCTATTGCTTTTAAAGGGGGGGGGGTTTTGAAACTGTGAGATATATCAAGTTTCTCTGTAATACCTAAGTGTGGGGTTGAAGAACCTTAGACATCATAAAATAATATTGTAGATCTCTTCCATTACTAAAAATAATAGAGGGACGATAAACTAATTTTCCCTATTTAATTTGCAATGTTCAAATCTAAGAGTTTCTCTAATGACTAGCTATATAGGCTGCTATTGCTTTTAAAAAATAGTAGGAAACTCAACTTTTTTTTCTCTCCAACAGCCAAAGCTACCATATGTTAATATTACTTTTTAAAACTTATTTTAAATTTAGCTCAAGGTTTATCTATATATAAATTTTGACAAGTCCCTTTATCTCTACATCTCCCAGGGTAAAACTCACATATAACATTTTAATTTGACATTATGTTAAAAATAAAAAATAAAAGTCACTCCATACAACATATAATAACAGTTAATTAACGACAATAATAAGCTTTTTACTATACCTTTAGAGAAGCTCTTACAAGGTCAAAATGTCATAATTTGACAATATTACTTCAGCAATGCATATATTATTACTCCATTGTTTTTTCACAAAAATTCAAATATAAATAGCAATTTTGAGTCCATCATAAGACATATGGAGAGAACTCTTGTGACTTTACATGCCATCTTGGTCAATGATACACCTATTTAAATGCCAGAAACAATGAAACCTTAGAACATTGATTCTGAATCACCTACTTATTTTTTTTGATTCCAATATCATAGCTAGAGAACCCATACACAAACAGCAAAGAACAAGCAATACACAAATTATCATACAATGTTCACACTAATTTCCTCTTTCTTTTTTCCCCCCCTTTCTTTTGGGAGGTGGAGATCCTAAGCCGAATCAACCAAGTAATACAACAAAATTATATCAGCATACTACAGAAAAAATGTAATGTTCCAAGCGACCGCAACACAAAGTAAAAATGATTATTTTCTACAAGTTGAAATTTATCAATGCTGGATTTTGAGGCCAGATTGAACACCCGATTGAACTTTGCCAAAGAAATAGGTTTCCAGCCTGCGCAACAACCGGTCTAAAGTTAGACTTACAATCTTTCATGTTCTTCTTGATGAGTATAATAACCTATGTAATAGTATCAAAGTGAAAAAAATAATCAAAAAAGTAAAAATAAAAAAATCTGGGGAGTGAAGAGCACCATGCCTGTTTGTGCATTTATAATAGATCGTTTCAGGAGAGTTGTAAGTGCGTGCATTACAAAACATCCTCTTGACATCAGCAACAAACATCTCAAAAGTTACATAATATTGCTCCGACTCCACTCGCTTCGACAGTTTTTTCAAATCTGCATGAATATCCCAAGCATCACGATTTCAATACACAACGGGCAAGCCAAACTTTAAAATATATATATATATATATAAATCTCAAATGCAACAGCACAATAAGTGAAGATAAACTTAATGTGCCCAACTATTATCACCTCTGTGACTTTCAAGTAGACCTCAATTCACAAGAACCGCCAGTTAAGAGAATCTTTGAACTAAAAGGCCTTTAAGAGACCAGCAGTTATTTTATGCAACCACCAGCTCAAACTATGTAGAGGATGATTCTAGATGGTTATAGTTTGACTCGTTTATGTTATTATGACAATTTTTCTACACCAAAGTCACATATTACACTGTCAAAGGCAGATGGCCATAAACAAATTTTTCAGCTAGTTGAGCTGCATCTAATATCCGTGGCTGAAATAAGATAATTAGTTCATTGGCCCACACAACCACACTTTAATGAACTTCCAAAACGTTTGGACCAAATCAAGATAGAGAGGGAAAATGGTATCAGTTTAGTTGAACTGGTCTTACAGTTTAAAAATTCCACAAGCCTGTTGTTGATATTTTCTTTTTTTTCTTTTTTGCTTTATTTTTTTCTTTACCCTCTCAATTAACTAATTGATGTTGTAGTTGAACATGCATAACATTTTATGAAGTAATCCCACAGCTTGAGCAACTGAACTTTCACATAAAACTGAACTTCAAAACTTTGATTACACATTTTTGGTGTCATCCCAGGAATGGTTGTTAAAATCATACAATTCACGATTCAATTCATACGATTTGATATGAGTTTCATAAAAAGGATTGGAATCATGCTGTTGAATTGGAAACTGAGTGAATCGTACAATTCAACTTGTGCGATTCACTACAATTCATTGCGCCTCTATTTTTGTTTTTGTTTACATAATGCATAAAATGATGTCATTTTCACTTAACTATTAAGATATATAGAAGAGATTGATTAGTTATACTAATATACGCGATTTTATATGTATACACATATATACAATTTAGTTATATTGCTAATTTACTTTATTTTAAACAGTGTATTTTTATTAGTATATAAATATATAAAATTACATATCATATTAAATAAATGAATCTTACGAATCATGATTCAATATTATTCATGATTCACTATTTTAGCAAACAATTCACTATTTGATTTGCGATTTGACAACAATGATCCCAGGTGTATTGCAAAGATTGATGATTTTCAAAAACATGTTAACAGGATAGGCATCTCAGTAACTAAAAAGCTAATCAACCAGTAATAACTATGCAATTATACATGCCCCAAATGACAACTGGCTACTAGTTCAACAGAAAAAAAAATGACAACTGGATAAATACAAGAGAAACTTCGATGACATAAGCCTACAATTCCAAAATAATCTCACTAAATCAGTAAATCTTAGTCAGACATCATTAAATGGGAAAAACTAACATAGCTGGTTAGAATGAGAAACATTATTCTTACCAATGGGATCTTTAATGATGTCATAATAGTCAGGCACATCATGTGCATCAACTGGTTCTTTGAATGGCCAAGCATCAGGATGATCATGCATTGCCTGCTTAAATGAAGACTACTAATGAGGACAGGAAATCACACATTGACGTGAAAACAGGGGAAAAAATAAATGTGCATTTGTGTGTTCCAATAAATTAATGGTACATAAAAATCGAAGAGTATATAAAATCAAAGAATTAGATGGCTCCTACAAGTTTCCCATTTAAACTAAAATCAATAACAATAAAATCTGTGCCCCACTGAATTCTAGCTGGACAAATGGAATTATGGAACCCATCAGTTATACCTCATTCTTTTAATATATTATAAATTATAAATTTGAAAGTAGGAGTAACGAATAAAGAAAAAATGCAGTTGGGTCTGGCATTCATGTGTTTGGGGCTTACAGGTAAACTAGTGAAACACATTGGGCTATGATAAAAAAGGCAGACACACAGACTAACATGGCAGCCACCTCTGTTACTCACACTTTCAGATTAAGCACTGAAACACATGTACCTATCAGAAACAGGTACACATGGAGAAACCACAGCAGCATCCTTGAAAGATGGGAATCAAACTTAACAATTTAACTAAGTTCAACAAGTGCAGCCATAGTAACCATTTATGATCATGCTTTTCTGCTCCATTTGCAACTACAATTTAGCACAGTCAATTGCGAAAGATTTCTACAAGAGTAATCCCCGTCGACTTTAGATGGACTTTGCAATACAAATCACTTTTATCAAAATATAAAGCAAGGTAAGAGGAGGAATAAAAGAATCTCAAACTTGCCTTTAGAAGTGAGCGCATGAAAAGAGACAGATTTTTGTGATGAGAAGCACTATCAACAGAAGCAATTACTGTTTTAAACCGAGAATGACCCCACTGATCAGGAGTCCACCCAGCCTCCCCTACCATTATCACCGCCAACTTCAATTTAGTATTCCAAAAGCACAAGAAGTACATAAACACACTTGCATCAACATAACAATTTTAAAGGAGTGAATACTGCTGCAAAAACAAAATAAACATATTGCTAGACAATTAGAGACTCATAATATTTACAGCATACTTTAAAATATGAAATAACGCACATCAGGAACAGTGCTTTGGACCAATAAAAATAATAAATAATTAAAAAACGATATCTATTTCACCAAGAAGAAGAATATTATATACAAAATAATTGTGATAGCTCGTCTTTATTTCACAAAGTGCATCTCTTAAACTGGAAAGACATGCTGCTATATAACATCTCAGCTAGGAAACTTTACTTATCTGTTTGGCTATAAATGATATAAAGATTCATTCACTTCCCAGTGAAGGGAGTCTTCATAAAGGTTGCAGAGTTGACGAAACAACAATAGAGAAGAGCATACATCACATCTACCAAAAGATGATAATTTTTTTATCAATCAAGTTTATAAAGGGTTAAACAGTCATGCACTTCCGAATACATAATTCCTAAAAGAATACATTCAAATTTTATGATATATACAACAAGTGAAAGCATGGAGGAACTTACTCAAGCCAGGAATATCCTCAACTTTGACAATTTTTTTAGGAATACCAGCTTCTTTCTGAATAAAAAAAAGTTCTTGATCAGAAACAGGATTGAAGCATACACGCATCATTTACAGATAACTTAATCATATCATTTTTTATAATAAGTAAGAGCACCATTCAACTCTGAAAAAGGCAAGTTGCAGATTTCTGAATAATAACAGCAACTTCTTGAAACTATTTTCCATAAATAGATATATAAATAACACCAATCATGAAGCGTGTAGTATACTGTAAGGGAACTCGGGTTTGCAAATTTCACCAGTGATCCACTGTAAGTAATATTTCTAGGTCAGGGGACCATCTGAATTGGTGATATAAAAGATGTAACTGGATGAAAAATAGAGAATAGACCTTCTAGATTTTATATCATTGATTGTCTAAGGCTCAAAACTTTGAAACAGTCTGGAATTTTGTGGACAAGAATTATAATATAAATTCAGATACAATATATTTCTCTGCACCACCTCTCCAACAAACACATCTTTGAAAGTGTCCCCTTCCTCCCCACCATTATGGCCTAACATCAAACACAAGACTCAACAGTCAACCTTGCAAAATGGCAATCTAAAAACAAGCAACCTAATTCAAATTCATCATTTAATCAGTCGTATTAGCGACACCAAGTAAGACTTAAAACAGTCAGTTGATGATGGTTTGAAGTCTCAACAGGAAACGTTTACAGATAAGAGATGATCTAGCCATCTCCTTTCAACGTATTCCATAAAATTCCAATGCATGTGTAAAATAATTGATGTATATTATTGATTGATATATTTGTTGTGTCTATTACAAATGGTGGGTGGCTCATTATATAGGAGAGGGTGAGTGTAGTAGGTGAGGAGTAGGTGGTGGTAGGTGATGGTAAATTGGTGGTAGGTGATGGTAAATTTTAACATATATTATTTCTAGTATATATACATGGCAAGTTGGTGTGCTCTTTAGTGTTGAGCATGATGGAGAGGAAAATGCTAACGCCAGGCACTAGAGACATTTTTTATTTTTTTGGTAGCCTGATAATTGTGACATTTTTCCATGAATTCTCTCTCTGTTGGTTGGTCTTTAATTGAGTAGGAAAATGAGTATTTAGATGACCCAAAATAGTTGGGACAAGGCTTTGTGAGTTCAGTATGTTGTTGGTTGAAATTTGGAGACGTGACTGTTTTATCATGCATGCTGATCTCAGTTGATTTAACTTGTTAGTTGGAAATATTTTTAACTCAATTTTATTGATTTTCTCATTGTTCATGATTTGGAAGAATAGAATTTGACAAGTTAGTGTGCATGATCTATCGTAGTTAAAAAACTCAATAGTTAAGAGGTTCTGGATTTTGTGCATGTGTGCTCATGAGTGTGTTTGTCTGCCTGTTTCTTCTTTTGTCAATATATAAGAAATCTAAGAAATTGGGTAATTGTGGAATGAAAACTTATTTTTAAGCTGTACTCAGTCCATCACAATATGTGCATTTCAGGCTGCAGAGATGCCAAATTTTTATGCAGATGGCGAGTATGATCTTAGTGGTTTTGCGGTTGGTATTGTAAAAAGGGATTCAGTTATTGATGGGAAGAACATCACTGTTGGAGATGTCCTCGTTGGCTTGCCATCTAGCGGAGTTCATTCCAACGGTTTCTCTCTTGTTAGAAGGTTTGCCTTTGCTTTGGTTATTTGTGGCTTACACTTAGGTCATTGAATGGTACAGTTTTTATAATTAACTCTAATAAATGAAATTTTTTTTTTGAAGTCAAATGTATAAAAACTTAATTTTCAGTCGGAAATATAGGTAAAACATCATTTTTGCTGATGCCCATACCTTCACCCACTGCAGCCACTGTAACCCCTCACTCCTCCACTGTGACCGTGGCCGATCCTCTTCCTCCTTGCTTCCCATGTTGCAGCTCGTCCCCTTCCTCACCCACCGCAATCACCTCTCCCTCACCCCCATCACTGGCCCTCCTCTCACTCTCACCCATTGCAATAACGTTGTTGGGGGGTAGTGATAGTTCCAATCATTGTCAGATTGGTGTATAAATTGTGTTTTGATCTTATTAATATATTTCTGTTGTTCATCGTATCAATGGGGTTTTGTGTGGTTTTTAGCATTTTGTTACTTTATGTTTCCTAGAAGAAGACCAGTTTGAAACAGATGTTATAGAAAACAACATTAGTGATGGAAAGAGCTTGATCAAGAGTCATCAGATCGGTTGCTTGATCTCTTCACTGGCCTTTGCCACTGGAAAAACCTCCACCATGCTGTGATGGAGAATGACGGAAAGAAGAGCAACATAAAAATGACTTTTTGCATCTGTGTTTTTTACTTGTTTTTTTGTGTGTTGTGTTGTTGTTGTTTTGTTCTTCAACACCCCAACCCCGAGAGAGTGGGAGACAGCTTCCTCTAGAAGAGAGAGAGTTGGATTTATCAGTGTTTTGAGGTCAATGTGGTGGTGGTGGTGGGAACGTGGGGTTGGTTGAAGAAAAAAAATAAATAAATAAATAAATAAAAAATAAAAGGTGTCTCTTTATGCAGCAGGTGCGTGTCGGCTATTGAAGGAAAATATTAAAAGAAAAAGAAAGGAAAAGAAAGGGGGTAAAGGGAGAGAGAGAGTGACAGTGGGTTTGTTCTCACCAAAAAATCAGAAATATTGAGAGAGAGAGATAGCTGGTAACCGAGAGTCAGAGAGAGAGAGAGCTGTTGGTCTCCAGCATCGAATCCATGCTAGATTTCCTCAGAAAAAATGGCTTCGTCGATATATATTGAAGTCGATCTACAATGATCTGCTGTCGCCATCTCCAGATCTACAACGATTCGTCATCGTCGTCTGCAAATCTACATCGGTCCACCGTCATTTCTGTGTGGCGACGCAGGTGAACTGGACGAATCCACTGAGAGAGAGAGAGAGAGAGAGAGAGAGAGTTGTGTCGTGCATGGAGATAGAGATCCAGCAGCTTTGAGGCACAGCGGCTGTAGGAGATCTGGTCGTTGGTTCCTCCGACTGGCTTCCGGTGACTGGCCTTGTGACCGCCGAGGGCGTGGTAGGAGCCGAAGGCCTTGTCGCATACGCTACACGTGTAGACGGGCTTGGAATCGGACGAAGTCGATGGCTGCGGCGGCGGAGGAGGGGTGGAGTGGCTGCGATGTGAGGCGGTGCCGCCACGAGCGAGCATGATGAGGCAGAGAGCGAGGTAAACGGACGCTTCAGCTCTGTTTTTTTTTTTTTTTTTTTTTTTTTTTTTTTTTTTTTTTTTTAAGTTGAGAAGCTTGAAACAGCTGAGAGAGATGAACAACACACAGACGTTTAGAGAGAGAGAGAGGAGTGTGGAAAGGTTCAGGAAAGTGAAGGTATGTGTAGGAGGTTTCAATTGGTTGAGGTCCGGCGGGCGGTTAAGGCAAGGTTGCCGCCCGCCAGAAGGCGAAGAGCACCAAGAGCTTAACCTATAGCTCTGATACCATGTAAAATTGATGTATATTATTGATTGATATATTTGTTGTGTCTATTACAAATGGTGGGTGGCTCATTATATAGGAGAGGGTGAGTGTAGTAGGTGAGGAGTAGGTGGTGGTAGGTGATGGTAAATTTTAACAGCATGGTTTGGAAAACTGGGTAAACTTCAATCATGAATAATTACCACAACATGAAATTCCATTCTGTCTTTGCTCTCAATAAAATCAAGCATTTACCAGGAATTTTTTTTTTTTATAATCATAATCCAAGTGCACATTTTTTTTTCTAAATAATGAATTCATTGAAGGGCACGAGAGCTTCCAGATAGTAGTCAATGATGGTGACAAATACCTTCTGAAAATCAATCCCAGGGTAGACGATGTGACAATTTGATAACTCCCTTATCTTCTCATCAATTGCCTATCATTGCCAATATAGTTAGAACTTCATTGCAAATCATAGTGTCAAAGAGATTTGCAAAGAAAAAATACAAAGCACAAGTAGAATTTACAACAACGAATTTGTCTTCTTCAGCCAAAATCCACTTGCACTGAATAGAGATCATTGCAATACAAGTGTCACCTGCTAATTTTCTTCTTCTTCTTTTTTTTTTTTTTTTTTTTTTTTTTTTTTTGGAGGCTTCTCCCATGATCATTCGCCAAATCCATATGAAGTCATCATATGCTCTCAACTTATTATTTAACTCATTATCGAATATCACTGGATGAATTGACTGAGCTTATTTTATCCTACCTGCCTCTGACGGCGTACCATAGTTGATAAATCAGTGTATGGAAGCTTGGGATCGATTATGCATTCCATAAGGATCCCTCCATCATAATCTTTGATATAACTGAAATACAAAATAAATAAAAAAATGACTTTGTCAGGACCAAAAAAAAGTTTTAAAACAGTTTTTCCATTGCCCCTACAAAGGGCTGTCATCTTGCTTTGAATTTAGAAGAAAAGGAAAAAATAAAAATAAGACATCAACTAAGAAGCACGGACACGCAAATTTTCAAAAAATAGGAAACACACTCAAAATATATAATTTTATTTATTTATTATGCCATAAAAAAAAATTTAAAAATTGAGAAGTAATAAAAAATACAAAATAATATTAATAAATATTTTAAACTATATATACAACTATTCATCAATTTCAGCACTTTACCTAATAAATACACTGAGCAATCTCAAGAAATTTAATTTTTCTTCAAATAAAATTAATTTGCTCTATGCATGTTAGGGCCAAAGATGAATATTAAAAAATAGAGGGGTTGCCAAATTTTTGTTCTTATCCAATAGTTGACCTCATAAAAGGGGTTCAGAAAATATATAATTACACAAAAAAGAAAGAGAAGAAAAAAAAAAGAGAGAAAGAAACAAAAACAAAGAAAAGAAAAAGACAACCAAACAGGGAGAAGAACGAAGACGATGAGACAAAGGGAAGAGAGAGAGAGAGCTACTTACGAATCTGCGATTGCTTCAATAGGGACCTTCAAAAGCTTCGACAGCTTCGCCTAGGGTTTACAAGTGAGCAACTTCTTCTCTCTCTCTCTCTCTCTCTCTCTCTCTCTCTCTCCACTCGCAATGTCCCTCAAGTGTTTGTGAGCGTGTCCGCAAAGTGTCCGATTGGAAAAATAAAAAAATTCTGGAAGCACTAGAGAGAGTGTCTGACACACGTCCATCACATGTCCGTGTCCAACACGTGTCAGACACTCACACGTTGCTGCTGAAGAGGTGTCCGTGCTTCGTAGGGCATCAACATTTTCCACTTTGTTTCAAGAGTGAAAGCATTGCGTTTTATTCAAAAGCCTAATACATCTAATTAAGGCTTACCAAAGTTACTTCATGCAAAAACAAACTCAACAATTTCAACATCAACCTTAATTTTGTGAAAAACATACCCATGCCACCGTTCTTTCTCTAAGTGAATCTCTTTCGTAAAGCCCTACAAATTGATACACAAAGTAGATACATTATTTAAATGAAATCCTCTTTTCAGGATTGTGTACATAAAAAATTCTCGACCAAATAAGGCTAGCAAACAAATAATACATAACTATTAAAACTGAGAAGAGTGACCCACTTTCCTAGCAGTTAGTTGTTGCCCACGGATATTAATGCAGGACATCAGTATGCTTCTATTCACAAATGACAAAACCACATAAGGAATTATTCTTCTAACTCACATTGTAGGGGGGAATTTTTTTTTCTTGCTTCTTTGCTCCCTCCGTGCTTCTTCCTTTTAACAGTAAAGCATCAATAAAAGGGAGGCATCCTGAGTCGATGTTCATGCCAAAAAAACTTTAACCCAACAAACTCCCATTTGGATTCTCAAGAAGGAAGGAAAGTTGGATTCATAAAGGGCCAAAAAAAGAGTGGAATCTTATGAATCCAAATTAGATTCCAAAGCAAACGCCAAGAAGAACAATAAGACAAGTATTTTATCCCCACAAGATATCTCCAATCATGCAGAACATCAACTTGAACCAGACACTCTCACCTCAATCACAAGTTCAATAGATGCCGAAATATACTTCCTTACTTAAACCCTCTCCTTTTAACAGTGCAGTAGGTGCTACTTCACAGCCATTCTAAACCTTCTGACTAGTATTTAACCCAAGAGAATAGTTTTTTTTTTTTTTGATAAGTAAACCAAAGAGAAGAAAAATTGATCTGAGTCCAATTTGAACATGGATGGAATAGTTAAAAAGTTATGACAATCTAATAGCTCAACCCAGTCAACTGACAGTGATGCTTTGGATTCACAAATTATTTTCGAAGGCAGGCTTCCTAGTAGTTTGTAGATAGACATTCCCTCTCATCTTTTTAACGGAGCAAATTTCATGCAGGGTTAATCTTACCATATTTACAATGAGAATATACAAACAAAATCTTATAAAACAACTTTTTTGTGCCTCTCAAATTGATTGTGAACTGAACAAGTGAAATCCCTATATACATGAAAACCACAATCCAAAAGGGAACGAAAAGGACCAAACCTGTTTAATGAAATAACCAACGGCATTATTGTCAGCATAAGTCAGAAAATGAGTTAGCCTGTCAACGTCACGAGCATGCTGCTTTAAGTGATTCATCAGTCTCGTGCCATAACCTTTTACTTGTTCATCTGCTGTGATTGCACAAAATGCTATCTCCCCAAACATTTGGCTAGAGCAATAAAAAGACTGTCAGTGGAGAAGCAAAATAGGCATCTTATATGGATAAAACAAATTAAGGAATATTGACAGGAATTCCAAATATTTTACATTTCTTCCTATATTAGTCATAAAAGATTAACAGACAACATAACAATCAGACTCCCAAATCAACCACAGCTTGAAATTGAATTAGCGTCATTGAGATCAAACCTCTGTCCCAACCTCTATATGCGATATGGGACCAAGAATTCACTTATTGAATGATTAGCATATTTATAGTGGCTAGGAGTAAGTACAATTAAGTAATAAATAGTTAAATACATCCATGGAAGGCTGTCTGTCAGCAGGTACAGAAAGCTAACAACCAGACTTTTTTTTTTGGGGGGGGGCAATTACAAATCAGGATAGTTGACCAAAAGTAATTACAAATACATGGGGATGAAACTCGTTCCTGTGTAAAAAAACACAGCAAAAGTTGTACTCCACAAAGATTAGCACAATCAGGATAGTTGACCAAAAGTAATTACAAATACATGGGGATGCAACTCTTTCCTGTGTAAAAAAACACAGCAAAAGTTGTACTCCACAAAGATTACCACAATCAGGATAGTTGACCAAAAGTAATTACAAATACATGGGGATGCAACTCTTTCCTGTGTAAAAAAACACAGAAAAAGTTGTACTCCACAAAGATTACCACCCTTCTGTAAATATTTGCCCCACCTCCCATGGATGGGTAATTTCCCCTTCTTTTTTTTACCCAAAAAATTTAAGACAAGTAATTACAAGCATGAAGCTGCAGGAAGTGCACAAACAAGTAGAATACCTAGTCCTAGTAATAGTAACAGACTAACACACATACACGTACACATTACCTCACATAAGGACGGTATGTTATGCCACCAACAACCTGATTACGTCTGATAACCATTACAGATTTATGGTTCCTGCATCAGAAACAATGGGAAAAGCATATAAGAATACTCTTAGTAATTAAAACATCACCAGACAACCACAGAGCCTGGAACGGCGTATATTAGTTGTAGAAAGCATCAAAATCCTGCTACCAGCCCTTATATGAAGAATCAGTTCAAATCCAGGGTATACATTGACCATTTTGAAACCTGAATTAATATGCTACAAATTGTGGAATTGAAACACTAACTGCATTTATGTGACTACGTAGCAAATAAAATGACCATTTTGAGGCAGTATAAACCCCAGAAGTTGGGCAGAGACTCAACAAATTAAATGCAAAATAAATTTTGATTTTAAATGTGCACACACGATACCTCGTAAAAGCAATCCAGAGGTCTATTACTTGGGAACATAGAAACACATTTTACATGACCATGGCATGGAAGTCATTAATGGAAGTCTACTAAATATTTATACAGGAAATTGCCTAGATAAGGTGTTTCCATAAATTAAGTGAACTAGGCAGCATGCATCTTTTTGTGCAAATTAAGTAACCATAAAGACAGAAGGATGAGGGAAAAAAAAAATATTGCAGCAGCAAAAAGACCCAAAGCTCTGTTCTTCACATTTTACATTCAAAGTAAATACGATTTAACTATTTTGCAAAACATATTACAGCTTTCCCAAAAAAAAAAGAATCTCAAACCCAGCTTAAAAAGAGTTAGTTTTTTAGCTAACAAGACAAATAAGATGAAAACCTAAAAAAATTTACCAAGCACACTACCTTTTCAAAGTACAATTGTTTAAGCTCGGCATGTTCAAAAACCTAAATGGCCCACTGAATCTGACTGACCCAAGCCGACAAGTGAAGAATGGACAGTTTCGCCAAAATATACGGTTATTGGTCGGTTGGTGTTGAGTTTTGAATAAGAAACTAATCCGAGCTGACTGAAAGTGCTATATAAATACTCATGTTACATTACATGTGTCTTATCCTGATAGGATGTTGAGATTACACCTTATCTTCCAAGAGAATCTTATATCTTCACATTATCTATTCTCTGTAGGGAATCATGTGACCTATTGTATAATAATCTTAGATAAGATATAAATCATTTAGAAATGAACTTCAAATTAAATAGGATTTATAAAAAAATATGGAATTTATGTCACCTAATTGTATAAGCTATGAAGCACTAACACGTTCCCAAGGCTGGCGTACGAGTGTCGGACACGCGTCGGACACGCTGTGGACACGTGTCCGACACTCTCTCTAACGTGTCCTCTTGTTTTTTTGAATTTTTTCAGTTGGACACGCGATGACACTTTCTGGACACGGATCGAAGAACCCTAAGCTGTTGGAGAGAAAGAGGGAAACAGATCGAGGGAGAGATTGATTGAACGAAAAAGCCCTAATCGGTTCAAAAGAGATGAATCAAAGAAGCCCTAACCTGAATCTTCTTTGTCTTATCTGCTCTGACTCATCGTCTCTGCTCGTCTTCTTCTCTGGTTCATCTTCTCTGCTCGTCTTCATCTCTGATTCATCTTCTCTGGTTTGTCTCTCTTTTCTTCTTCTATTCTCTTCTCTTCTCTCTTTCTGATTTCACTCCCTTCTTTTCACTTCTCTCTCTTTTTCTCCTCCCGTTTCTCTCCCTTCCTTTTATTTCCCGATTTTCCCTTTTTTTTCTTTTTTTCTTTTATCTTTATTTTTATTAGACCTAAACTTTATAGAATAAATTATTTTTATTTTAAAAAAAAATCATTTTTATTAAAAACAATTTAAGAAATATGTTTATTTATTTTATTATTATTATAATTGTATAGGAACTAATAATTTTTTTTTAATTTTAGACATATAATAAATAAATAAAATTATATATATTAAACGTGTCCCCAGCGTATCGTGTCCCCTATTTTTTGAAAATTTGCGTTTTCACGTGTCTGTGTCGTGTCCATATCGTGTCCCGTGTCCGTGTCCGTGCATGTGCAACATAATGTATAAGCTATAATTATTTCTTTACTAGAAAAAGTGAGTATCTTTTCTTCAAATATCATATAAATTAGAGTATAGAAGAGTCTAAATTGGGTACGGGTGTTGAACATATATCCCAAACCTTTACCCATTTCATATCTAGTGGACACTGGCACATTGGGGTAAGTAGAAGAGTCCATGTAAGTAAACTTGTATTTTTTTGTAAATGTTTAAACCACTCACTCTTTTTTTTCTTTTTTTTCCTCTGTTTTTTTTTGTCTTTTCGCCTCTCACAAGGGGAGTGAAAGGGGATAAAAGAAGAAAAGTATGAATATCTTTACTCTTCATCAATTCTATTCCATTCAATCATTCAGTTATTATTTTTTGGGCATCAAACAGTTTGATCATACCACAATCCATTCGAGCAACAACATAGTTTTACAAATACTACTTACTTATTTGATCACTAGGTTTAAAAATATTTCTTACTGCTATAACACTTTTAAGTTTTAAGAAAGCTTTCACAAAACATACCTGTCCATTACAAGGCGAACAATGTACTCCTTAGGCATGTTAGGTAGTTGTCTGGCAAATATATTCTTCAATCCTATCAACCTGAGAGGAGGAAAAATAAAATGAACTCCATCTTAATGCAGTGCTATCTTGGTGAATGATCAAAACTTAATAGCATATTTGGCAGTTTGTCATATGCTAAAAAAAATGAACCAGTGTATATTAATCTGAGTAAACCAAAAATAAAAAATAAATTAGATAAAAAAATGGATACTTGAGAAAGAGAAACAAATACCAAACCATATGCTCATCAATGCCATCATTTGAAACACATACAAACTTGAGTCTTCCAGCTTCCTCCTGTTAAATTACAAATAATGACTGATCATTAACAACTAACTCCATGAAGGAAAGGTGCACAATGAATAAAAGACACGTGAAACTACATGCAAATGCACATTCACACAAGGATGTTGGCAGTACAATTTAAAAGGAAATTTTGATTTTACCGATATGTGCTATCCCAAAGGATGTAGAAATTTTCCAAATCATAGTCTAATGGACTAGCCCCTCGCAGCATCTCTCATCCATGTATTCACCAGTTACAGGGAACCCACTGGGAATCCTTTAGTAATAAAGATTATTTTGTTTTTATGATAAGCAAGAGAATTTATAGATGGAAGCACCAAAAAGAAGGGGGTGCACCTTACCACAACAAAGACATCTTTAGACCCTGAAACCAAAAGGTTCATAATGGGAAATTGATCTATCTATGACACAAGAGACCACCACACATACATGCTTATTGCATATACTTCTATACTCTACAAATTTTGCATGAATGAATATAATAAATATTGCTAATGATCCATGAACTATCTGCAAATTTCTTCAATGGTTTTAGATATATCCACTTTTCCCCCCATTTTTCATATTTCGGATCAGAGATCAAGACCTTGTTAGAATAGGAGATGAAGACCTTATTAGAACAGGATCATGCGGTGACCAAATAAATAAAATTATCAAATTGTAACCAAATAATTGTAATTGTAATTGTAAGTGTAGTTGTAAATGGTAATTATTAGATTTAACATGCTTTGCTTTTCTCACATTGTACACAAATTTGTTCTACACTCATTTTTTCATATCTCCCAATTGTTAAGTGAAATCATATAATGAGTCCTTGGCTCTAACAAGCATTGTCTTCCAAACAAGAAGTATTCATATGACCTCAAATACCTTTAATTTATATAGAGTACCACAACAACTACATAAAGATTGCTATCCAAAACAAAAATAGTGAAAAACTATCCTTATACAAACCAATAGTTATTGTCTGGACAACGTCAAAAGCCATGCCTCGTTCATAAGAATGTTAAATACAGATTCCATATGTTGTGTGTAAACATACAAAACTAACCTAAAACACATTTGATGCCATAAAAGTAATGAGTACGCCACAAATATAAACAAAAAATAAACATGTCACAAATTCACATGGTTGTGCCATTGTTGATTGAAAACCAAAACTTCTCATTTTAAGAGCTTCTAAGTTGTACAATTCATAAAATGCCACACAATGGCTGTTACACATTCTAAAAGCAACTGGAACATGGCCGGGCTGAATGGGTGACAGCATTGAATTTAAATTCCCATCTCAATACACAAAATTGTGCTTGGTAAATTATGTAAGTGAATTTTAGTTTAGAAATCAATTAGTTCCAAATTACAACTAGGGTTACCTATTACTTCGTTCCGCCAACAAGTTCAAATCCTTATAACTCAAGTTTCTTACATGCACGAATAAAGTCAAAACTAACCCTCCTGTGCAGAAACCAAATTCTCCTCAAGAGCAACTCAATATAGGCCGTGTTTGAATCGTGGATAAAAACAAGGAAAATATGAATGAAATATATTGCATTTTTCCTTCACTTTTTCAAATCCCTACCCAAATCGATGATCCAAATACAATTAACCAATTATATACCACAGCTTGTCAAATGTGCGGAAATACAGCAATTCAATCTAATATATCACAGAGCCAAAATTACTGAAAACAAAAATTAGAAGAAACACATTGGAAATTGGAATTATACCTCTCTCTTTAAACTCTCTTCCCTTGCACTATAAGCACCACTAGTCTGTATATTCTCGGTAAATATATTCTTCACTGTATCCTCCTTCATCGCAATTCCCTGAACCGAACTAGCATTGGCCGGTGCAGTAGTAGCCCCGGAACCACCAGTTCCACCGTCTTTCCCAACCTCAGAAGGCTCAACCTTAACCGAATTCTCAGTTTTAAGCTTCGTATTCCTCGCAGGAACCTCAGTGCTCCCCAATCTAGACGCAGTAAAGGTCCGCATCGACGAATCATCGTATTCATCATCGTCGTCGACGACCTCCTCGGAATCGTCGTCGGACTCGGAGTCGTCTTCGGCGCCGCGGACGCTGATGCTCTCGAGGTCGTCGTTGGAGGTGAGGGCGCCGTCGCGGGTGTCGGAGAAGGAGGAGGGGAAGGGCGGCGCGTGGTCGTCGGAGGAGGCGAGCTTGCGTTTCTGGATGGAGGAAGTGGCGGAGGCGGAGGCGGAGTGGGAGGGAGAGGGAGATTGGGAGCTCCGGGAACGAACTGGTGCAGTCAAGTGAGAGGAGTGAGTGTCCATGGCGGTGGTGCTGGTGGTGGTGGATTTGAAAATTAGGGTTTCAGAGAAAAGAGGGTTTTGGAGTGGAATTTGATTGTTCTTCGTTGGTTCTCGGTTTCTGTTGATCGGTTAGATCGTCTGTTGGTTGGTCGTTGGGGTAAAATGAATTTCTTTCACAAATGAAGGCCTCGAAATTTCGACGCTCGAAATTTGATAAGGTGAGTAATTGAGTTGGATTGATTGTGTGATAAAAGTTAATTGATTAGTTTTACTGTTGATTAAAATTTATTAAATACATATAATTTTGTTCAAATTTATATTATATTTTTATTTTAAATAATAAAAGCTAGGAGGAAATGAAAATTAAAATCATTTCAATTTTATTCGAATTTTTCTAATTTAAAATATAAATATAATAAGGACGCATATAAAATTATATAAAATTAATAAATTTTAACAAACAGTCTAACTGATCAGTCAATTTTATCACTAAACCAATCTAGCCTAACTTACTCACCTTATCAAATCACACATGTTGAGTTGGTATGAAATGTCTAGTTTTTTAGAACACCCCTACACAAAAAAAAAAAATCAAATCAAATCAACACAAAAAAAAAAAAGAAGATTCGAGCCATTCTAGCCTCGAAATTTCGAGGCCTATAGCACAATTGTTCCAGTAAAATTTTAAAAATATATATACAATTAATCTGATATTTTTATATAATTATGCAATAATCAAAAGGAAAAAGATTGAGGCCTTGAATGTAGCTCGAATTTATTTATTTATTTATTTGTTTTTTTTTTTTTTGAGACTCTGTTGGTTTAGTTGTTTTTATTATTTTTTTATTTATTTGTTGGGTTGTATTAGTTTGGTTTTTTTATTTATTTGTTGGGCTGTTGTTATTTTATTTTTATCTTTCTGGTTAAAATAAAAATATAGTAGGGACTCGTACAAAATTATATAAAATTAATAACTTTTAGCCAACAGTCTAATTGACCAATCAATTTTATCACTCAGTCCAACCCAACTCACTCACCTTATTAAATCACATAGGCTAAGTGGTTTTTTTTTTTTATTTGTTGGTCTGTGTTGTTTTTTTTTAATTTTATTTTATTTATTGAGCTGTATTAGTTTTTTTTTTATTATTAAGATTTAGATTTTAAGGCACACATAATCACCTTTTTAAAAAAAAAAAATTTCAATTGGAGGCAAATTCGCGACTCTCTTCTCGAGTCCTTTAGCACGGCTCTAAAATAAATTTAGCACCATGTTTTAAATTATTGTAAATTATGATCAAGGAAAATGTATTGCAGCTCAAATTTTGTGGCTCAAATGACCAAAACGACGTCGTTTTGGCTATTTTTATGTTGTTCTGTACTCAAAACGACGTCGTTTTGGCCATTTGAACCATTTTTGAGCCACAAAATTTGAGTTACGTAACATTATCGTATGATCAATTAGCGAAAAAAAAATTAATCTTCCCATTATTCCCTTTTTCTTCTTTTTAGAGACACTTTTTAAGGCACACATAATCACCTTTTTTTAAAAAAAAAAAAATTTAATTGGAGGCAAATTCGCGAATCTCTTCTCGAGTCCTTTAGCACGGCTCTAAAATAAATTTAGCACCATGTTTTAAATTATTGTAAATTATGATCAAGGAAAATGTATTGCAGCTCAAATTTTGTGGCTCAAATGACCAAAACGACGTCGTTTTGGCTATTTTTATGTTGTTCTGTACTCAAAACGACGTCGTTTTGGCCATTTGAACCATTTTTGAGCCACAAAATTTGAGTTACGTAACATTATCGTATGATCAATTAGCGAAAAAAAAATTAATCTTCCCATTATTCCCTTTTTCTTCTTTTTAGAGACACTTCTGAAAGGCTAACTGACTTGGTCAGATAAATCATGGTGCCTCTGAGATTGCCACCAATCACTCACACGCACTTAGGCCTCGTTTGAAGACTTATTTTTTTAGTCAATTAATTAAAAAATTATTAAATTAGCCAAAAAGTCAACAACTCATATTAAAAAGTCAAAGATTCTCTTTTCTCTCTATTTTTTGTACATCTTTTCATAATTAGCTAAAAAATCATCCCAAACATACAAGTTTTTTTTACCTACCTTTTTAACTAAATAGTCAAAAAGTTATTAAATTAACTTGTTCCAAACGACTTTCAATTTTACCATCTTGTCAGACACAGATATACGTATAGTATTTATTGATAGGCAGTGGCTTTGGTTCAGTTTAAGATTGAACTGGATCGTGTTATTGGGTCTGTAGGGGTTCACTACGGGTCCCGTTTTGATAATCCGAACTGTTCAATGTGTAAAACTTGTCGAGTACTATATGCCTGTAAAAAATCACGTTGATCGGATATCGATAGCTATGTGAACAAAACAGTTTTTTATCAACCGTTAATTGTTTTACCGTTCATTTTTTATACAAAACTGATTTGATCACATAACTATTGATATCCGATCAACGTAATTTTTTACAAGCATATAGTACTCGACGAGTTCTACACGTTGACGGTTCGAATTATCAAAACGAACCCAAAAAATGAGTCCCATGGACCAAACTGGACAGGTCCAGTCTTGATCTCAACTTGAGACAAGCTAAACCCTTATTGATAATGAGAGTGATTTGAATGTTTATACCTTGGGGCATGGAGACATAGGTTTTGTTCGTCATAATTTTAAAAAAAAATTAAAAAATTACTATTTTATTTAAATAACATCTTCTCTATCAAATTATTTCAAATCATATTCATACTTTATATTTTCTAAAAAAATAAAAAATACATTTATTTAAATAATCCTAAACCATTCCACTCCATAAAGAGAAAGATGATGACAGTCTGAGCATTTGAAAATCCAATCGGCCAGATTTTTAGAGTAATTTTTCTTGATGTTGTAATCGGGTCATATCATTCCAAGATCAATTTGAATGTAGTAGATATCCAGGCGTAGTCCACTTTCCTACAGCTTTTCTATTAAACCCACACGCAACTATCTTTAGACAAATCATAGAATTTTTCGAAATTGTAGAATTTTTATGAAATTTAAATAAATAGTTAAATTGAAAAATAGTTTTGAATTGTCTGTGTAAACAATAAAAAAAGAAAAATGTATTTATATGTACCATAGGCTAAAGCCTAGGCTATAAAGAAAAATACAAGTAGATTGTACTAAAACCTAGGCTATTCCCATCACGTAAAGAATTAGATCTTACATATTTTTTTAAAAACATAACCTATTTTTTAGAATAACCAAACAAATTGTATAAAATTCTCAAAAAACCGTATTCAAAAACAAAAATGATTTAGACCACTAATTAGTGGTGGCTCTAATGATGTGGCAGTGGGTCCCACCCACTGCCACATGTGTTTTGTGCCTTGTTTTTTTTTTTTTTTTTTTTCAATTGCCACCTCACTAGTGGTGGGATTAGTGATGATAAATTAGTGGTCTATAGCATTGCTCATTCAAAAAACCACAACCAAACACAGTGATTACAATTATCAATCTCTTATTTTAATAGATTATTCTTTTTAGGATCATCTCCGAATCATATTTACTTAAAAGTGTGTTAAATTTGTAGTTGCACTTTGAAATCTATGTTCAACTTACAACTTCAACTTTGGCATGGTTTGGGAAGACGGTTTGAGATTTTTTTAGTTAAAATAACTATAAAAAATAAAATAATTTTTTTAGTCGAATGAGACAAGATATCATATCTGACCCATAATCATTACATTATTTCTCTCACAAAAGAGTCAAAAAATTCAAAAATCCTTCCCAAACCAAAATTTTTAGCTCCAGACAAAAATAATCAAAAAATCAACTCATTTCCTAAACCATGCATTCGTCATGTAGGCAAAGTTACTACATTGGCATACTCCATATAAAAATTGTAATTTAAAAATATGAATTTATTTTAAAATTATGAATTCAAAAAATGTGATATTTTATAAAATAATTTAAAAATCACTATATATTTATTATTTCTTATTAAAAAACTGCACTAAGCCAAAGTCATCATCAATTAGTATTATGCCATAAAATGAAGAGAGAAAAAAAACTTCAGTATAATATTTTATTGTCCACTGTCACGAGACAAATATAATGTTGAACAATGTTCACTGTATTTAAAAAATAAATTATGTTTATATATTTAGTAATAAATGGAATACAAAAGAAATAAAAGAAAGGAAAAAAGAGAGAGATTATTTGATTACAAAAATCAAACCAATAAATAAAAATAAATAAATTAAAAAACAGATTTTTATTTTGTTACAAAAATAAAGTCAAAATCTAATATAAATAAATAATAAAACAAAAAATAAATTAACAACTTACTTTATTAATTTTTCGAACAAAGTTTTGATCAAGTCTAGTGTTTAACATTGTGTCATTAAGACAGATTCATTCTCTCCACGATACTTTCAGATTGTGGACATCTATCTCCCAAGATAAAATGATCAACAGTGAATAGTAACAGCACTACACACTATTCACACAACGAACACACTAAGTGTTTACACTCTTTATCACAAGGAAAATAATGCAGCAAAATGCAGAGAGAGCAAACAGAATTTGGAACGAAAATTGGAGTGAAAAAATCAAGTGAGGGCTTGCCTATTTATAGATGCAGTGGTACCTTTTCAATTTGAATTAAATAAGTAGCATACTTGTTTAAACACCTATTCGGTTTGAATGAACAGATACAAATCTGTTGGGTTTAAATTTCGAACAGATAAAAACCGAATTAAATAGATTTGAATCTATATAGAAATTTGGAAGAAGTGAAAAACAAATTTGTATTTTTCCCATCAAAATTTGAATTTAAAACTTTGGACAGATTTTATTTTACCAAACAAATAAAATTAAATTCAAATGTTTTTTGCCCAAAAAAATAAGTATTGGGCCAAACTAGCCCAATCCAACCTCACATCACGCATTCGCGCCTGCGCCCAACCCACCCGACCGAACGGATGGGCGACGGCGCGTGCATGTGTTTATTTTTGGGTCCAATGGGTCTAGCCCAATTTGCCCATAACTTCTTCATTCTACAAACTTGGGGTGCCCCTTAGGGCCCTCCCCAAGTTACAAACCAATGCCTTATAAACCCACATAAGTTTGCCCACCAAACCAATGTGGGACAAACTTTAAGCCAAACCTTTAGAAAA